GATAGCCAGGCCAAGTATTCAACTCCTAATACACAAACCTTAAATGACATCAGGCTTATCTTTTGCGAAATGAGTAATAAAGTACTGTATAAACCTAAATGCTTTGAAAATATATGCACCTTGCAAATATTTAGTTAAACTCTCAAACTTATGTCTCTTTAACTGATTTTTTTTTTGGTACCCGTAATTTTATTTACCTTATTTTTACGCAAGAAAAAAAAGTAACTTCTTTCAATTTTATATCAAATAATACATGGGTGATTCTCGCCTAACTGTGATTTTTACAACTTACATTTTTCTAAAATTAAAAATGTTTCAAAACGTATGTTTTACGCGTTTTTGTTTTCTATTTATGCATAGAAATAAGCCTGTAAAGTGGTTCTACTACAGCTACGACACAACGAAAACTGTGACAAAATTTAAAAATTTTAATGCCACGGTACTGACATTATTTCCACGGTACTAACATATAAATGATTATTTTTTTTACCAATCCAAAGATTGGTATAAAATTCAATGCAGTATGCATTAGATTGTAGTTATAAGAGGTAAATTTTATATTAAAAAATGAATTTTGATAGAAAATTATATATTTAATTTTAAAAATGAGAATCGGACATGCCACGGTACTGACATTTCGAGTATATTTATATGCAGCTTAAAAAAAAATTACGAAGGTTTATGATCTAATTCATAATGTCGGTTGTAAAATACCTCTAAATTTATATTATAACTTTTTGATGAGGAAAACTTATGCTAAACGATAAATAAAACGCTGGACATAAAAAATCACAGTTAGGCGAGAATCACCCACATAAGGAATATTTTAGTGCCGAAATCTCACCATTGCTATTATTTACCCCAACTACCTCAATGTAAATAAATCACATTATAACATTTGCGCGTGGCCTGTAACAGTGATTTTGGTCTAAGATCCGAAGTAAGGTCGACCTTCCCCCATCTGTTTAATGGATGAAAGATTATTTTTATTAAATTTTCAAAGTATGGGAGCACCTAAGTGAGCACTCATTTCTCTCATCAATATGGAACCGCCATTTTTAAAGGCCTCTAGGATTAAAATTCTTAGAATCTTTAAATAAACCGATAGAAACAGTCAGTGAATTCACAGTGGCTCTAAGAGCCCTAAAAATACTGTTTTACGTTGACGTACGACATTTCTCTTGAGAGAACTGAAATCTCTGGAGTTTGAAAATTAACCCCCCCGGGAGTGAGCTGTAGAAGAAGATATCATTTTTACCTTTCCCAAAATGCCGACCATTTACAAAAAATATGGGTGCAATATTTTAGAAAATATTAGATCAACGTTAAAACTATGAACGTATTGTTTATTTTAAGGACGAGGATTTTAGAGATGACATTTGGACGCGAATCATATAATACTGTTTATAGATAAAATAACTAGTAACTGACAAAATATATTTTTTATTTCCGATAAAAATATAAGTACTTTCTAGGTTTCTTCTGAAGTCCAACAGGCCTTTGTTTTCTTCATTAAAATTCTTATTTGTAACTACTTTTTACTAAAAACTTCCTGTAGCAAACTATTTTTTCAATAATGTAGGTTCTTTTAGTAAAGTAAGCTGACTTGCTCTTGGTTATGTTTAATGCTTGTAAGAAACCATTTCATCTGCTTTTAAATGCGGCGGATCCAAACGAAGTGGACGCGATACATTGGCGAACAAAATAGTTTAATTGTGAATAGCTGTTGAAATTTTGTAGAATTATGATTTGGATATTATAGTACCTGTTTAATAATTATAGTCCATAAATGTATGGGATTGTCCGGTTCCGCCGGTAACAATTTAAAATTACTTCTTCTATGAAACGACACTGGCAGGTAAACATTACTGCGAAATTCTCGAAGTTGTCCAACGTAGTTAACGTTTACCCCCTCTTTACCTACCAAAAGCCTTTCAAACTTCTGCCCCTGCTATATGAATGATAATTGCAGAATATTCTAAAATCTTATCATTAGCCTTCAATTTCAGTTTAGGTTCTTTCCTTTTTTTTATTTCAAGGTATAAACAAAATGTTGTCCCAGTTCAGCTCGGAGGCCGTACCCTAATCCAAAATGTTTAAAATAAACCATTCGCGCAATAATATTTCTCTTTATAATTCAAATAAAAAGTAATTCATTTGAAATTTGATGGAAATATTTTTCCATGCCATTTTGTAGCTTGTCTTTGAAAACATCAAATTTCCGATTTTATATATATAGCCCAAAAATAAAAATATACACTACTAAATATTAGAATTAAAAGAAAAACTAATGTACGAACCGCAGCAGTATATTTTCTGTCAACTCGATTTTCCACTCCTTGACGCCACACCCTTCCTTAGGAACGGACGGAAGAGGCTACCGTGTTATCTAGGAACCGTGAGTGTATCAACACTCGTAAGGCATACCATTGCATTAACTCGATAACGCAACGCTGCCTTACCGATGCCTATTCTAAACCTTAACGTCTCCATTGTGTTTTCATTTTTTTAATTCACGATTTCTGCCATTGGTTTTCCGAAAAAACGATATGAAGCAACCTTTTTCTGAAGTAGTTCTTGGAAAAATTTACGCATGTTGGAGCATTCAATTAATCTTTTTGTGTTAATTCAGGGACGTGTGTAGTTCACTTATCACGGACAAGACTCGCGGTCAGTCATGCCTACTTTATAAACCTTTTTTCAGACCACTATATATATGCGCGGCTTGTTGCGTTTGTTCCTTTTGATAAGTGTAGAAAGTATAAATGACGCCCTGTCAGTATATCAGTTACTTAATAAAAGAGTGGTGATATGAACTGTGTGAATAAAACAACCTCGAAAACAAGATAGTCTGTTCTACATATTTACTGCGTTTAGCAACTTTTTATGTTGCAACAATCCTAATTTTTAAACATTTTTTTCTTTATACTTACTCTGTGTACAGTTGAGGGTGAACGTTGAGTAGCGAACATTTTGTGTGGAGTACTTCGTACTTTTCACCTCTATTTGTTTTTAAAATTTTCTATTTCAAACCAAATAAGTTATTTTGAGGTTGTATGATAGTTGGCAGAGAACAAAGTTATAGTCATCATTTAAAGGAACATGGTGAAGGTTGTTTAAATAACTGAATTGATAATACATCAAATGTTTTTATATCAATCTACACAGCTTTGTTTACATCCATACGCACAATAAAAAATGCAATTACAATTTTCAAAGGAGACCAAACCTGCAAAAATATCCATCCCAAGAAAAATCACAAACTAGCATATTGTTCACAATAGGGTACTTGTTTTACACTGATTAAGTACATAGGTACCTGCGTTAAGTACTTCCGCTGCCGGTTTTCTCGAGACTTCAAATTAATAGTGGTGTCAGCAACAAAAAAATTATAGAAAATGTAAAATTATTTGCACATCAAACTTAATCCAAACAGGATTGTCTTCAAAATGTCGGTATTCACAAAGTGCAATGGTGCTGATTAATTTTATACAAGTAGAGGCTTTAATTATTCAACATTTAAATTAGATTAGTCATGTAGACGCTAGAAAGCACATTACTATCTTTAGAAAAATTATTTTAACAATGTATTTATTACAACAGTTTTTTGATCTTGGCTATAATTGATTGGTTACCAAATCTGACCCTCTGTGACTTCTTTCAATGAAAGTCACATACATTTTTAAGTTTGCAAGGAGTTTTAAAGAACTGCCTTTCCGAAGCCAAACCCAAAGAATATTAACAAAAACTACCGATTTTTGAAAAAAAAAAGTAGAGAATTCTAAAAAAAAGTTATTACAAGATTTCAATAATTAACCCAAAAACTATTCTTTACTTTATCAGAAATTCAAATAAACCAATTAAAAAAATGTACTTAATCACACTGTTCCACTCTGCGAATACATTGTATGATATTGTAATTATTGCTTTAAATGACATGCAAATCAACATCCACGTCAATTCGATTAAAAAAAGTTAAAAATGCAATGCGGAATGCAATTTGTACGGACATATGCGTGTTTTCCTTTTTTAAAAAATATGTATCCATACCAAAAACAAAAATGAACATATATGTAAGAAATATACAAAAAAATCAATCTAACTCTACGAGAGTAGGACAAGGCGAAAGATCATCTTCTAAGCGTAATCACTAAAATCAAATTAATAAAAAAAAATATATATATTTATACGGCTTTTCATACTCACTTGGTCAGAGGCGAAAAATAACAATTAATAGAATTATCAGCAAACATCACACTCCTTATAAGAATCTAAATTGACAGTTTGTTGTTCAAAACTTGACAAAATTGCTTCAGTGATGCAGTTTAAATTTATTATTTAAATCCAGAATCATTTATTCCGAAAAACAGCGCTCTAGGATATTAAATCTCTACATTCGAAACATTTTGACTCATCTTGTTATATTGTAGATAAACCTCATGATAATATTGATGATCTTTACTCACTACATCACTGAAGCAATTCAGAATAAAACTCGTAGACACTACACTATCACGAAAAGAGTGTGATGCTCATCAAAGATTGCGCTGCCTAAACATCTTCCGAGGCGACGATATTTCACCAAATGGGCAAGTAACATGCTGCGCCCCCGTTCATTTTTTTTACAACATACCAGTCTGGTAACGAATCATTAAATACTTGACAATTTTATTTAAAGAAAAAAAAAATACAAAAAAATTATCCAACGTTAAATACCTAAAGCGAAAGTTCTAGTACATTCAGAAAATCTCCGCGTCCACGGATTACGAGCGACCAAAACGTGATATATCAAAGCTAGAGTAATCAAAACGAGCTATATAACGGCCGTACGTTATATTTGTGCAACAGGAAGTTGCATTTTATTAGTCGCCGGATTGCAAATGGAGCCTAGATGTACCTAAGTAATTTTCAGACTAGAGGAAACGTTTAAAACCTCTCGAAACCGTCATTATTTGCAAGCTGGCGACATTCATCTTAGAGGGAATAAAAAACAGTGATTGCATCAATATACGCACGAGCGTTATTCGTCGTAGCCGGAGGTTGTTTGGTCGCTCGCAATTCGGCGTGGGGAATGGTCCCATTCACTCTTTCGCATTCACTCGGGAGAGACAAAACAGTTACAGAATATATTGTTACAGCTAGTAATAATAATAATAATACAGTATGTACCAGGGTGGTTGGGGCAAGCCATTTGGGCACTTGCCCCGCCCCCCTTTCACAATGTCTGGGCAATGCCCTGCACTACACAGCACTCAATAGTTCGATATTGCCTCAAGCAACGCTTCCAAGTTATGATACGTCCTGGTCTTCTACGTCCTGCAGCTGCTCTTTTGGTTCCGCTTCTCCTGCAACAAAAATAAACAAATGTCAATTTGGAACTTAAAACAAAAACAAACAAAAATGAAGCTGTCCAGACACAGCTGCAATTTAGACAAGAAAACTGTTTGGTTTATATATACTTGGTGATGAGACCAGAGCTCCGTTAATATATTTTTAATTTATAATGCGACTTGCACAATGGCTATTAAGTTTGTTTTTTTTTAAATGAATCACGCTGCATATTTTATGTTTTTTGGAATCTAAGGTTCAATTATATGAGTTTTAATTTTATTTTTCTCCCAGCTCGTACCCCTTGTACTAGGAACGCTAAATTTTAATGTTTTTGATTAGGTGTAAGGCCAAACGAACATTTTTTTATATAAACGTGTTAAGATTCTAATACTTTCAAAGAAATATAAAACGCGTGCCTTAATGATATTAAAAGGTCTATTCTTGTATTATACAGTTGCTACCGAGCAAGTTGCTTGGATTAAGGTCAATTGTTATATTATCACTTAAAAAAAAAAAAAAAAAAAATAAGAATTTATTTAAGAAACAACTAGTGGATTTGGCGATTAAGCATAACTGCTGATAAAGAAATATGGACCCTTAAAATATATGGGAGGCACGTTTATTGACAAGATAATATCAGAACTAAATAAGTACATAGGAGTATATTATTTTATCTATTGGTTTGTTTTAGGAAATAAGTAAGTCTTCATTCAGAAAAGACTACTTTTTCTTGCTTTGGAACTGTATCTCCAAGGATGCGCACCCTGGAGAATATTTTTATTTTGTAGATCCTATCTTTTTTTTATTTATTATTCCATTATAAATTAATGTTTGGATTTACATGTAAAATATATTTTGGCAAAGGAACAAACAGTCATGAATAAAATTAAAAATATTATAGTTGAAGTATCAATATCAATAATGAGATCGTTGACAACGAGATGAGCTTAATATTTTGTCTTTTGCCACGTAATAGAAAGTTGACGCAAGTGATGCAATGCAAGTGTGAAGAAATTTTTAAGTAGTGCATGTAAGTCACTACATTCCTACTACAATAGATCTATCGTGCATGCTTCAGGAGCATATAGGAGCTGTATCTCAACTTATCAAAAAGTCAGCTGCTTGACACCGACACCGAGAAATATCTAGGGATTGCCTCTCATACCGTCTGGAAGGTGTGTATGCTTGAAAACGACAGAAAGTGAAACTCCCCAGAGAGTACTTGATTTTCATTTTCCCTAAAAAATGGTATTCTTGAGGGTTAAGTATAAATTTTTATTATTTTTATAGCAACCAACAATATCAGAATTGCGACTTTTGTCAAAGTTGTTATACAGTTGCTATGAAAGTGGCAAGATTGCAAGTTGTTGTAGTCTAGAGAAAAAAGCAGTGCAGTAATTTAATTTGCAGAATGTAGTACATGTTCAAGAGGTAGACATTTTATTTATACCTCATCTTTCAATGCTTATTTGTAGTTAAAATGAAAATTTTAATACATCTGATCGGGCTAATAAAAGTTTTCCTGTGTTTCCATGGTTTTTACTGTAATAAACAGTTTCTGTACTCAGCTAGGGCTCTACCGTTCCAATCTGTATATAATTTGAAGCATTTGCGCATGTTTGCCTACAAAATACAGCTTGTTCATCAACTGCGTCCCTTAGATTTTAGACAACGAACTGAATTCGCTATTCGTTTTCAACAGTTGTGCAGAGAAGATAAGGATTTTCTGAACAGATTAATCGTGAGCGACGAAGCGCTCTTCTGTCTGAATGACTTTGTTACCAAACAGAATTGTCGGTTTTGCAAACCCAAGAGTGATTCATGAGCGAGAACTTCATCCAATAAAGTGTACAGTTTGGTGTGGAGTTACCAGTCAAGGCATCATTGGACCTTTCTTTGAAGATGAAGACGGCAATGCTGATACCGTTATTGGAGACATGCTCCAAAATTTTGACCGGTCCGCTCTAGAAAACATGCCAGAGATGAGGTATCAGCAAGATGGCGCTACTGCTTACACAGCCAGGGTAACCATGGAGCTCCTAAGGGAAATTTTTGGCAACTGAATAATTTTAAGAGATTTAGATATTCCGTACACTGCACGTTCGCCTGATTTAGAGTTTATACAAATAAGCCCAGAACTCTTTCTTGAGTAACCGAAGGAGAACATTCGGAATGAAATAAGAATTTTAAATCAGCAAATTCTAGCAGCTGTTATGCAAAACGAACTAAAAAGAACAAGAATGTGTCAAGCGAAAAATTTTTAAGAACTAGGTTAAAAATATCTCCATGAATTACATAATAAGGGTCTAAACAGCAAAAGATTAGGAAACAAATATTAAAAAAATACATGGGAATAATTTTCAAGCCGATACGTCACTATGAACTATGACCTACAATTGTGGCAACCAACAAATTTAAATTATACCAATAAAAATAAGTAGGTTAATAGCCATTTTTAAATATTCCAGAAAATTGTTAATATACTTATTACAAGACAGAGTCGTTAATTTTCTTATTTAAATATTTAATTTTCTAATAAACCACATGTCATAAAGCTAATCAACTTTTACGCTCGCATTCCTCGAAACTACGTTGCCTATTGCCTACTGGTACTGTACTGGCAATTTATCGATTATCATAAAAAAAATGATGACTTCATTTTATTCGAAACGGTGGCGTCAATCGCGATAAAGGATATCAACCGACGTTAATTATTTTAAATTCCAAAGGCGTCCATTAACACTTCGCAGTCTGATACCTGAAAGGTGGTGCTATTGTCGATCCAATCAAATTGTGTATATTAATATTATTTTTTATTTGTCACCAGTTTATTTGAATTGCGATCATGAGATATAAATACAAATACGTTGTGGAATACAGATAATTATAATTATCGATAAGATAAAAAATGTCATCTTGATAGTATTGCATTTTTTTACCTAGTAGGACGCACCTTTTTACTGCTGATTTAATTTAACAAAGTTCAAGGTTCTGGAATGAAAATATTTTCAAGGATGATAATAATTAATAAGTGTTACGATTATCGAGAAATTTTTTAAATAACAAGGGTGCGAGGTGCAAGTTGTATTTTCCAAAGATTAGGACTGTCGTGGGTTGAAATTAAAAAAGAATAACGATATTCGTACCACGAAAATATATTAAAGAGAATTACAGGGTGGGCCTGACGATAACTAACCAGAGTCATTTATTACCAGGAACTGCATCAATATAAGATAAACGCTTTTGAATCAGTCGATTTTTGATCAAAAGGAATGGATATATTTCTATCATATCCTCAAATGTCATTCCCTCTCCACTCCTCTGTCGCTCTAACCAAAACAATTTAAATAGGGAAAGTACCAGATATGTGACATATCATTGAAACGGTAATTTTATAGAGAATTCAGCAATATGACTGTTCACTGCATTTCTTTTGATTTAAGGGCCCTCTAGCGAGATAAAAAACTGTCACGAATTGTGACACTTCATTTGAAAGCGAATTTTAGTATTAATTTTTTCTTAACGTTAGATCTCTGAAAGGTTTTTTTAATTATTTAAAGTGTTTCACTCAATAATGTTTCGTTACGTTGTGTATTAAATTACTAATCAAATTTTATACGTTTTTTTAAATCTCGCTAGATGACGGTAAAATAAAAAATAACGCAATGAACAATCATATTGCTGAATTTTCCATAAAATTACCTTTTGAATGATGCGTCATATATTTCATACTTTCCCTATTTAAATTGTACTGGTTAGAGTGCCGGAGGAGAAGGGAATGATTTATGATAGTTTAAGATACGGTAGAAAGCAAAGTTCCTCTATTTACCTTTAAACCCAGTCATACATTGCAAAGAAACGTAGCGCGTAGCTATTTCGTAAAAGAACTGACATGCGTTGCCTGGTGTGCTGTTGCCAGGCTGTGTAGGTTATCCCTTTCATATTTAAAAATAGTTTATACCTATAACCCACTAATAGCAACAAGTTTTATTAATTAGAATAGTTTCGAGATATTGAGACACATAAATTAATTTTCGTAGCTAGTGCAGTGTTTCCCACTGCGATGCATTGTGGGCAGAGTTGTTGCAATAATTCCCGAAACATTTCTAATAGTAAGTCTCTAAATAAAATGACTTGTAACAAAACAAAAAACGTATAAAATGTGTACAAAGTACATTAAGCTATTTTAACTGCTTTCAGCAGACTTGATATTTTAGCGGCAGTCGCGGCACCTATTTTTAGACCATTGTGCAGTGCATTTTTGTACCTATCGTTTTTACATACATACGCCTGTTAAATAACAACTTTGCAAATGCTAAGTTAAACTATGGCAAACATCATTAAAAGGCCTGCAAATAAATGCATGGATTTTAAAAGCGTTAAAGTGACAACAACACAATTAAACCTTGTTTCATTCATACTATACGTCACGTATAGTATTTTATTGATCGATAGTTTGCGACGTTGCCATCCAATAAATTGTTCCATATCGGGTGTTTTTGTTGATTTTTATAATTTTTTGGAAATGGTTTGGCTTTATAGTTTTAGTGTATAACTAACAATATGGTTCGCGAGTGTATTTTGTGCAAAAACTGGATAATAGAAGTGCTGAAGTGTCTTTTCATAAGTAAGGTTAGGAGATGTATTGCATTGTTCAGTGGTGTAGATTTTAAGATTTTCGCCGTAATATCACGCAGCACCTTTGTTTTACTATTATTTATTTCCTTTGATATTTCAAAGTTATTAATTTCGCAAAAAATTGTTATTTATGGAAACACTTTAGTCTAGACTTTGGTAGTAAAATAAATATGCTTATGCTTGCTTTTTAGATTCCCAACTGATAGGCATACAAGAAATATTTGGCTATCATTTGTAGGACTTGAAGAAAATGAAGGTACCCGAAAAAGAGTAATATTTTGAGGTTTTTTTTTGGATAGATATACAGGGTGGCTCACGCTCAACGGGTCGGAGCTTTATGGGAAAACGACCAAAGATATAAAAAATTCGTTTGGGAGGAATACGTAGGTTACAGACGGCTACAATTTAAAATTTGTTAGATGTATACAGGATGTCCCACATAAGAGAAAATATACAAAGTTATATATTTTTAATGGAACACCCTGTTTTTTATTTTAGAATTAAAAACTACATCAAAAATAATGTCAGTTAACTAAAGGTTCCCTATTACTATTATTATTAGTTTTCGATTTATTTGAATTTTTAAGGAAAAAAAGTCTCCCAGAAATTAATTGTTTACTCTTGTTTGAATAATTTTTAATGAACTAATTTTTTTTTTCTTATGTGGGACATCCTGTATACATCTAACAAATTTTAAATTGTAGCCGTCTGTAACCTACGTATTCCTCCCAAACGAATTTTTTATATGTTTGGTCGTTTTCCCATAAAGCTCCGTCCCGTTGAGCGTGAGCCACCCTGTATATTAATTTTAAATACTGTAAAAACCTTATAATCTAACATTAAATTTTTTTGGACATCACATTTTTGATGGCGATATTTTTGAAAATCACGCATTAGATTTGATAAATCCGATATTAAAATATTATTTCAATATTCGCATGAATTATGAGATCACAAAAAAGTTACGAAATTTTAAGAAAAATTAGAATAAGTATACATACAAAAGTATTATTGTTTAAAAACGAATATTTTTCTTATTAAGAGGAAAATTTACATTACAAACTAAAAGACCTGCGGGGCAACGGTAGTTTAGTAGGTATAAAAATTACAACTAAATACTACAAAATTACTTCAGAAACCAAACAAAATCAGCATTCATTCATAATTTTAACAAATGCATGTAGATACGAGGGATGCATATTCTAAACTTTAACGCGCGAAGTTGAAGACAAAGGAACCGAAAAATATTCCACAATAGCACAAAATATTACCTATGTATTTTACAATATAAGTATGGTGTAGATTAAAACTTATTTTGGCTGTCGACAAATTTGGTTAAAAAATCTTTTAGAAATATACCTTTCATTTGACGAAAAAGGAAGGCCTAAACGAAAAAAAAAAAACATTCTTCATAAAAGTTTCGCCTGTGTATTGACAAGGTAATAGTGCTTTCCTTATATTTTTTTGCTATGAAATTAACAAAAATATAGCAATAAACAATTACTGATGTCATAGTTTTACAGGAAAGGAAGCAGTTTCTTGACTGTATGCGTCTCTCTCAGGGATGAAATATATGCAATCTGTTTGACTCTCTTACATTATTTTATAAAGGTATTATTGATTTATCCACTTTTAAAGTTTATTTTTAAGTACTTAAAAAAACAAAATATGTACGTGTAGATAAAGGTTAAATCTATGCTCCTCTGGAACCACTTTTTCAAAATTCAATTTAGTTTTTTCTAAAAAAAATTGAGAAAATGGATTAAAAAAATTGAGAAAATGGATTAAAAAAGTCGAGTTGTTTTTTTTTTTTTAGAAAAAACAAATTGAAATTTTGAAAAAGTGTTTCCAGAGGTGCACAGATTTAACCTTTACCTACACGCACATATTTTTTTCTTTTAAAATATGTCAAAAATAAACTTTAAAAGTGGGGTACTACAAAACCCTTGCATGCTCTGCTCTAAAGCCAAGTAAACACTCCTCTTAAATAAAAACGTAGTTTTTTTCAACGCTTAGCACTAACGTAGGTTTGTTTTTACAAAATTATTATTGGCAGATCCGCTATAATTAGCGTTCCATTTACAATTCTAGCCCTGTATACAGGGTGTTCAAATTAAAGTGTTACAGTTAAATACCGCCTTTTATAAAAAAAAACATTTCAGACGAAAGTTTTATAATTTTTTGGGGAAAAAATTTTGGCTAACATCGTTTTTTATAGCAAAATTTTCAAGTAGGTATTACTCAATAATAAACATGTTTACTTTAAAAGTTATTTATTTTTTATGAATTTTAAGAATATGTAAAAAAATGGGGATCCAATTTGAAAAGAAAAAAAAAGTTTACCTCGATATGGCCATATTACGGTCAGCTATAAAAAAATGAATTTAGCCAAAATATTTCTCCCAAAAAAACTATAAACTTTTGTCAGAAACTTTTTTTTTTTATAAAATGCATATTTTCGGCGGTATTTAACTGGTAAATTTATTGGTATTAAAAATTTGAATTTTGATTTAAAAATCTCTCGTTTTTACCAATTTGTAAAACTGTTCAAATTAACTCCAAAATTGGATTCGTAAATTTGTTTAAAATAAATCTTTGTTTAACATCTTTATATGTAATAAATATTGTATTATTCTTGGAAAAAAAATTATAGCGTTTTTAAGTTTTTTACCTACATTCCACTCAACTGCATGCCCTTATTTCAAATCCAATAGGTTTTAAAGTTTAAACCATTATAAAGTTAATTGCACACTATATAGGTTAGTATTTCACGATTAATTTTTTTATATTTATTAGTATTTACTGCAAATTAATAATCTTTTTCGTTCAAAAATCGAGAAGTTATGATTTTATCTTTAATAAGATGCGCTACTGGTATCGACAGACTTTTAGTTGCGTATAACAGCAGCGTTGCCAGACGAGATCTAGGATTACAGGCTGTCTTCTTTCAATCCGCATAAAATATATTTTTTTTCTCTTTTCCAATGATTGGGACCAAACAAATGATACGTTATGAATGAAATGCTTCATCTGTTGTTTCTTTTAACTAAGGTAGAAAGTTATCCCCATTGAAATAAAAATAGACCTGTTTTTGAATTCCTGTCTCCTTTAAAATATTCTAAGATACAATCGCTAACTGCCCTTAATCAGACAACCCAGGACTATGTTTTTAAAGTAGGCCATGGAAATATCATTTATGTCCTAGATCACAATTTTTCTTTTTTAAATAGCATTTTACAATTTTTACGGGTTTACGTTATAATTATTTTGCTGGCTCTCGCGTGTTAAAAGTACCCTCTTAAAGGGGGCTAGAGTTTTTCAGTAATCACCTGACAGGCACAAACTCTAAAATGTGGATCAAAGGCGCCGCTACAAAGTGATTTTACTTCAAGTTTACCTCAATAGTATCGCAGTCTAAAAGTCTGTCAAAGTTTATCAGGCTCGTAAATTTGAATGAAGTATTAAAATACCTAAATAGGATAGCCAATATTTTAAAATATCACAAAACGAAAGAACGTATTTCCCTATGAGACGACTATGGTCACCGTCAGTCGAAGCAAATTATTATTCTAGAAAATACAGGATCTATCACAACGAAGATCTCGAAACGACAATTATTGGCAAAAGCACTATTTTAAAAATGGTGAATCCGTGATGTATATTCTGGTGGCTGCGCGATTGTTGGCCGAAAGGTATCTAGAATGTTCCAGAAGCTACAGTATGGGTATAAATAAACTGTTTTGTTGTAGGAAGAAGTCAGTTTTTAGTTAGATACCACGTTAAGATAAATATTGTTAATAGAGAGTTGAAGTGTTTCCAGTACGTTAACGTAAACGTGAACGTCAACGCACAAAAATAATGTTTACGGTATAGTCCAAAATATGAGTTGAAGTTATTAAACGCATCGTGACATTTACGTGTCATGGCAGATAATGACAATTATTATTAGTATTTCTTCTTTCCCAATTAAAAAGAGGTTATTTTATTTGCGTTACGTGCATACGCCAGAGCCCGCAAGCTAACCTATGTACGTAGACGTGAACGTGAAGGAAATTTGAATGCGCATGCGTAGATGTCAATTTTCACGTATACGTTTACGTTCATAGCATGACTTCAACTCTCTAATATAAATTAGTGTAGAGCAGTAAGATATAAGTAAATTAGTTTCACATCAATAATTATATTATTACATTTCAGTACCGCTCTCTAATTTGTAGAAAAATATTCCCATTAAAAATATGAATTGAAAAAAAAATTAGTAATATAACGTACCGTCTCCTTGCATATCACTCGTCCAAAGGGTGAGGTTGTCCCTCAAGAGTTGCATGATGAGCGTGCTGTCCTTGTAGCTCTCCTCGGAGAGGGTGTCCAGTTCGGCGATGGCGTCGTCGAAGGCGGCCTTTGCCAGGCGGCACGCCCTGTCCGGACTGTTGAGGATCTCGTAGTAGAAGACGGAGAAGTTGAGCGCCAGGCCGAGCCGAATGGGATGCGTGGGCGGCAGCTCCGTCATTGCGATGTCGCTCGCCGATTTGTAGGCGACCAACGAGTGTTCGGCGGCGTCCTTGCGGTCGTTGCCCGTCGCGAATTCCGCCAGGTATCGGTGGTAATCACCCTGCAACAAAAAACAAATCATTCTAAGGGTGAAATTGCAGAAAATGGACCTACGCAAATTTGCAGATCTGAAAATATGACTAATTTTCGAATTAAGTTCACATTTAATTTGTTATCAATAAAGCTCGGATTTATAGGCAACAAAAATTGAAGAAAAAGGCGCTTACGTAGGCAAAGATTTTTATTGAAAAAGGCAGAAATCTCAACATAGGTATAGGAAACACAAAGTGAATCCACTTAACAACTTAACATAAATATATTTGCACAACATATCTTCTCTTTAAACTAACCCAGAGAATTGCTTACGAAACCAGACTATTACTGTGTGGGGTTCAAAGTTTGGAACCAAAACGACAGGAGGCAATACGCAAGTTACTTAATGGCCAGGTGGATTGTGAAGATTTGAAAATTAGTCCGTTTCTTTGTTCCTTTATGGACCATTTGCACCACTAGTCGTTAAAAAATAAGCTAAGTTTAAAATGACATTGTTAATATAAAAATGTCAGTTTAAGCTTGGCTTATTTCTTAACGACTAGCGGTGCAAATGGCCCTAAGACGAACACGTCACTTAAACTTACTTCATGTCAGGACTCGTAGGACTAATTACGACAAAAATTAATTTATCGACAGGTTATTAGGTAACTAATATTAATTTTTCAAATTACGATATCTTTCATAAATCACCGCAAACTATTAAAAATAACAGACTATACCTCTTCTCTATCTAAATTTCATTGTTTTTTCGTATTGGAAAAATTTGTATTTGTATTACATATTTTGAAATCTAGTTTTAATCTTTTGATGGAATTTGTCTTTTTATATCTTTTTTTTATCTTTTGATCGTCATGTACCAATTGGATTATATCTGTAGTGTACTGCAATAAAATAAATAATATTAATAACAATAAAACTAAATAATTGTTAATTAATGATTAAACAATGTAACCACTTAAAATTTTATCATTAACAGCTACAAGTGCTTTTTCGTTTAAAAATTATTGTTTCTATAACTTAAAATTAATTTGCACATGTTCTACATCGACAGATGTAACTGGAGCATATTTCAAATCTGGCTCAACTTGTAATTCGTCGGAAAATGTCCCATTGAAAACTTTAGCATCAGATAAAAACGAGAAACCTTTCTTTCTTGACAAAAAGAAATTTGATTTTTTTAGAAATTAATTGACCATTACTTCAAGGTGCTAATTTAATTTTTGACTTTAAACGGTCTTTGTTTATAGGTCCATTGTGCATCCTCCTAAGATGATAGGCACCTCCTAGCTCGTGAATATGCGGAGGTTAAAATAATAACAAAAAACAAATAAGAAAGAAAAATATCAACTTGAAATTTTCATGAAAAAACAAGTTCTAAACAGTTTTTTATCAAGCTAGAGGGCGCTAAAATTGAAAGTAAGTTATTACCGAATTCTCCAGCAAACTACCTTTTCAATGATGTGTTATTCTATGTACTTTTTATTTTCTTAAAGTACAATTAATACTGCCATATAACAGGGTGACTGTTTTCGAGTGGCCCACTCTGTATAATCAATTATTGCGATCAATTTAATAGCTCGAAACAAAGAGGAACATTGATTTCTCAGAAAATGCTATATAAAAAAAAAATTGACGATGTCCAGTTTTGGATTAGATATACAGGACAACAAAAAAGTACAAGGGTTAAAATAATTTTTTGAAATATCTATATTAGATTTAAAGAGTGGTAATAATAATAATAATCGATTGGGAACTATTTAAAAAAACTCAACCTTTGGGATAAGCAATTTTTTTTATTCGAATAATAAAATTCCAATATCGATTTTTCAATTAATAGAAAATAATCGATTTTTGCCCATCCCTTGTCATTTATTTTCGATTTTCATAAAGACTTCCCAACTGAAGCTACGAGGTTAACATGTGGTTTGATAAAAACGATAAAGATATCGTTTAGAACTAAGACGGAAACACTAAAACCTGTATAAAGATTCTGAATAGTTAAAAATTATTAATCATTTTAAATAATAATAGATATAATTCTTTAACATAAGGTATACTTTTACTATTCAATAGAGCATTAGATCGCGTTTCTTGTAGATGGCATTTATTACTTTTGGACACCCTGTATAAATAAAAAGTAAACATTTCTCCCAGATTACTTCATAAAAAAAAATTTTAGTTATCTATATTTCATAGAAGAAATAGGTAACAAAGTTTTTATATTTTTATTTTGATCTCACGAGAGAAGATAATTACAATAAAAACACCATTTTTAGTGGAAACATATTCTAATAGACAATACATAGTTATTTTACTTCTAAAAATATTTTACGCATTGTTCTGTGCTAACAATACAAGTTGTATCTACTTTCTGAATTTTTATCTGATTGCATTTAATTTACAATTCTTGCTATTAATAGATGTTCTTTTTGTGCATATCCATTTGAAAATTGAGAGATTGTACATTTTTTCTATATTTTTCCAGCATTTTTTAAAAAAGGAATTTGGATCACTCAGTATTAATTTATCTATCACACCGTGCAATATAGGAGGATTTAATTAAAAGATTATTTAAACACTGGATATTCTAATATATTAATTAAATCAGTAGCCATAGCGTTTCCGTTTCGTTTACTCAAATTACATGCGTAACTGGGTTCGATTTCATTGTCTAACTTAACCAATAAATTTATATCTAGTCATTGTTTGTGATTTGATTACAGTGAGGAGTTGTTAAATTACATTTCACATATAAATTTCATCGTTAACATTGCCGTTAAAGGGGTCAGAAGATTGTATTGTCATATATTTCAAAATCTACAAAAATTATAAGAGCTTACAAATCTCGATGATTACTTATCGGAAATTTATTCCAATTCAACTTGTACAATCGTCAAAAGGACCAGACATTAATTTATGAGATTATCGATAATCCCAATATCAAAATTTGTATTCAATAGATTATATATCACAAATTAATAAAATAGTATGAGAGCAAAATAATTTACAGTTACAATACAAAAGCAATGACAATACAAGACCAGCTTGCCTACTACATCTTTATAACAATAATGTACCAAGCATGATTAGCAGCTATTGGTCAAGTACATGATGTATATCGGATTAATCAACTAAAAGTATAGGAAGTTATTACAATCAGTTACCATATGACGTAAATTATTATTAGTTACAGGATGAGTCAAAAATTACTAAAAATGGATTTTATATTTTTAATTCATAATGAAATTATTCTTCAAATTATTATCACGCCTCGTTTTAAATAATCAGAATTAGAAACCATCTTTATCTATGTTTTATCGCGTGATAATAGACCTCAAACCATTTTAAATTATACAGGATGGCCCATTAGTACGGGGAAGTTCAAAATTTCTCTTGTCTACTATTTTTAAGTTATCAATTAAAATGAACATTTTTCAAAAACTATCACCTTTAATGCCTATATTATAATTACAAAAAACAAATGGGGAAATAACAAACTGGGTGTTCATTATTTAGAGGACCCTTTTTCCTTTTTGATGTCTAATTGGACGGCTTTCTGCAGAAAGGAAGCAACCAACAAATTTGTGATTTTTAAACTTTCGCATTATATTGCATTAAGAACTGTAACCTTTACTGCAAAAAAATATCCAGGCCACATTCTGGTACCAACCGACTAAATTTGCTAAGCAAATAATCTGCCCCTGCAGAAGTATACCAAGCGGCTTTCTGCATAATAGAGAAGACACTTGGTGACAGTGGGAGTGAGTGTGAAGTATTAAAAATAAGAAAACGAATATTTTTTTGTGTGATACAATATGAATGATAATATTAGCATATCTCAAAGAATTCTTCTGATGATAAAAGCTATTGGATAGGGAAAGGAAAGCAAAAGCTTTGTTCAGGTAAATCGTGTATTAAGATAATAAAATGAAAAATGGATGTGGAGAATAAAAAAAATTTGCTGTTTCTGGAAAATAAATTTTGAAATAGATATTAGAAAATTTGTGGTTTGAAGGAAAAAGTATAAAATACAAGAGTACAAAAAATATGTGCACTTAATTCCGAACGATTGCTTGCAATTTTATTAACATAAAACCGGCACAGGCAACGACGACAATGTGGATGGATTCAGCGGAGCTCCTGATTTTGAACTGGAACCTATGATGGTAGAATAAATTTAAAAGACAATATGAATTTTTTACCTATTTCCTTAACAATAATCTTTAAACAAACACCCCTAAAATGTATTTTACAGACAGGAGCCGACCCACAAAAACCAAAACATCCAAGAGAAATAGCTACTTTTTTAAATTTCAGACGTTGAGCCGCCGATCTTCAGCAGCAGAACGTCTGCTGTAGACAAATCCTTAATCTCTTACGAGCAATTCGTTGACTGGCTACAATGCACTGAAGATTGGTTGAAACGCCTAGCATTTGAATTTACTATGCAAAGATCTGCGACTCATTTTCGGCAGCTGAACTTCTGCCTAATGTGGCGCTAGCCTAAGAATTCATATTGTATAAGAATTTAAGGGTCATTAATTTTTTAAAATTGTCAAAACTTTCAGTTGGTGATTTCTTACCTACAACATGGAAATTAAGAAATTTAAACGTGGACAAATGCTCCATGCGAGTGCGAAAATTGTGATTTTTATTATGATTTGTTAGTCAATAACGAGTGTGACTGCAGCGGTTAAGTCGTGCTTCCAAAATGAGTGGGATCAGTGAAAAAATTATACTATCAAGAAAGAGGAGGAACAAAACAATGGCGAACTGAAATATCTTGCAAGAAAAAAGCGGATAAGGCAGTCAAATTCTCGGGAATATACATATGAGGGTTTTAAGAGCTTATTGAAAAGAATTGTGCAATTTTTTTTTTAACATTTCGCCAACTTTAAATGCAATTTATATTATTCGATGGAATGGTAATTCACCATTTTTCTCTTTGAGAACCCTATGTAGATTGATGAAAGATATTGGTTTTGAATATGTGAAACGTGGTCGTAA